TTAGTAGCTTTTTGTATTAAATTATAGATATTCTGGAAATAAGGAAATTCATTATTTTCTACACTTCAAAAATCACAAATTGTAACATAGAATATTTGCATGTTACTTCCCCCCACATATCAACATATCTAGGATAATATTCCACCTCAACGCATAAAGAACTTCTTGTTCTTTTATGTCTGCAAAGTATTCTGTGCAGGTCCATCATCCTTATTCAAAACCTCTGGGTTTTGAATGTGTTTTGGAATTTAGAACTTTTCAAATAACAAAAAGATAATTTGTATATAAATATTTTCGGTGGGTTGGAGGTAGCATTCCATAATCAAACAACAAAAGTATGAATATTCACAGTAGGTGGGATAAGGAGTAAAATTAGTATGGTAGCTTATATAAATCCCAGTACCATAAAAGAGTGCCCTAGAATTTGTTAAAACATAGTTGCTTGGGCTTCATCTCCAGAGATTCTGATTCAGTATGTCCAGAGCTGGATCTGAGAGTTTGCATTTCTAACCAGGTTCCAGATGACATTATTAATATTGCCCATCCTCTCATTACAATAAGTAGCAAGGCTCTGACATATTTAGTGAATAATTTTATGTAATGAGGCTATATATCTTCTCATTAGTGACACAAAACCCTTCAAGTCTTTATTTACAGGTTCACTTTCATACATTGTAATAAACCAAAGTGTGCCAAATATTTATCAGTAATACTAGGTATCAACAACTGTGTAAGTAGCATCATTCACATAAATCTATTTGAACAAGTTCTGCAGTAACTCTTAGGAAGACTCAGGAGTTAACTGATGCAAGTATAAAGTATGAAATATCATAAAGAAACCTCTTTGTTCAACTAAAATACTAATTAAAAGTAAGATAAAAAAAAGTCATTGGAATATTTACACCAATTCATTGTTGAATCCATTCAATTTAATTAAATCATTTTCCCTCCTGATGCTGGGGACTGCAAACCCAGGGCCTTACACATGCTAGGCAAGTGCTTTGTCACTGAGTTACAACCCTAGTCTGACCTGTTCATTTTTTTGTCCTCTGAAAAAATTTTCTAGTCTTTATTAGCTTTGGTCATTGTCATCTCTGTTTATTTTTTCAATTTATAAGTGGTGTTAATTCCCACATCATATTCTTTAGTAAGGTTCTTCAACAGATGTACTTGAATAAGCCTTTGCATTAACTATCATTTGTACTATTAATAATGACAGATGCTTCCTTTTCTCATTTTTACTCATAGGGATATCTTCAATTTCTTGGACGTTTTTATAGGGCAATTTTAAAGACAAAATAACATCATAAACTAAAAGGACAACACAATATTAGTTAATCGCAGAGGTGCCTGTGACTAGTAAAAGTGTTAAGAAACAATCATGTTGCATGTCAGCTGAGGTCAGGTTTTAGAATCTGTCAACTATAAGAGGAAAAAAAAAAAAGTTTGGGTTTCTGCAGAACTAAAACTTGACTTGACTGTAGCCATCTTAAGTTGTAACCACCAAGACTGCCCCTCAGTAACCCCCATCTGTCTTTGCCACGTAACTTGCCAGCATACTATACACAAAAACACTGGAGTGGTCTGTGGCGTTTAACCACCTGGACCTTGGCACCATGAGTGCCACAAACATGCTTCATGTCTTTGATACAAGATTGAGATAAACCAGGTGCATTTTAGCTTAGATGAAAGTCACTTCTGTCTTGACCAAATATATAAGCCCCCTCTCTTTGACCCAAATCATAGACATCCACTGATGTTGCTGTCACTCTTGAACTATGCTTCTGTCAGTAAGTCCTCAATAAATGCCCTCTACATAATCCTGGATGTGTCTGTCTCTTTCTTTGGTCTCACAGTACCTATGGCTGGTTCTTCCAGAACTGAGTTTTTCCAGAAAAACTTCCACAGCTTTTCAGATTTTGGAATTGCATATGAGAGATTTTGGATGTAAAGAAATTTATTTATCAGTATCCTATTAATGAATATTTAGATTTTTCAAATACTTTATAATTACCAATGATGTTGGCATGAATAATCTTATAGAAATATTACTTTGAATTTTTTTTCTTTTTTTGGTGGTACTGAGGTTTGAATTCAGGGCCTCACACTTGCTTGGCAGGCACTCTACCACTTGAACCTCTCCATCCAGTCCTGTTTTGTGCTGGGCATTTTATTTCTTTTCTTTTTTTTTTTTTTGAAGTACTGGTGTTTGAGCTCACTGCCCCCCATCAGCCCTTTTTTGTGATGGTTTTCTTTTGAGATAGAGTCTCACGAACTATTTGCCTGGGCTGGCTTTGAACCACAATCTTCCTGATCTCTGCCTTCAGAGTAGCTAGGATTACAGGCATTGAGCCACTGGTGCTTGGTTGTGTTGGGTATTTTCGAGAGAGGGCCTTGCAAATTATTTGCCTGAGCTGGTTTTGAACTGTGATCATACTGATCTCTGCCTCCCAAGTAGCTAGGATTACAGGTGTGAGCTTCCAGTATCCGGCATTACTTTGCATTTGTAATACACATTTGTAAGAGAATCCTGGAAGTGAAATTCTGTGTGTGTGTGGGTGTGTGTGTGTAATTTTTTTTGATAGATACTGCCAAATTGACCACAAAGGATTTGGCCAATCCTTTGAATCAAGTATTCACCCACTAGCTTTAGGATCGCTGGTATTTCTTGGTCAAATTAACTATTGTATGGTTGTCAAATGCTGTAATGTAAAAGAGTACTGGTATCTCTATACCTTTGCCAACATAATAGTTTATCAAAAACTTTCCTCTTATTTTGAGATAATTTCAAATTTATAAATAAGTTTCAAGAATATTACAAAGAAATCTTTTCTTTCCTTAACCATCTGAAAGTAACCATTTTGATGCCCCAATACTGCTGAATACTGTAGTATATATTTCCTATAAAGATACTCTGCATATCCATAACACAACCATCAAAATCAGGAAATTGACATCATTAATACATTCCTACTATCTAACACACACACCTCATGCAACTTCTCTCAATTGTCTCAGTATCTTTTGTAGCAAAGTAATTTTATACAGGAGCACGTGCTGTATTTAGTTAGTGATGTCTCTTTAAGTCTTCTTTAGTTGGGTAAAATTCCCCAGTCTTTCCTTGACATTCATGACCCTGACATTTTGCATTAGTTATTTTTTAGTATGTCTTTCAGTTCCAATGATGTTTCCTCATATCTTAGGTGTAGGCTTGCACTTTGGGCTATAATGACGTAGAAGTGACACTGAGTTCTAATTGTTTCTTATCAGGTGATAAATGATTTTGGATTTGGCCCATTACTGATGGTATTAACTGTCATCATTTGATTAAGGTTTTCCCAATGTAAAGTTACACATTTTTCCTTTATAATTTATAAATTTTTTTAGAGAGATACTTTAAAACTGTAAATATCCTGTTCCTCATCAAGTATTCACCCACTAGCTTTAGGATCGCTGGTATTTCTTGGTCAAATTAACTATTGTATGGTTGTCAAATGCTGTATTTTCATTTCATTAATCCTTCCACGTTCATTAGTTGGCACTGTACTCTACTGTTTTAGTTATTTATTCATATCAGTATAAAACTCTTCTGGGTAATGGTAGCTTATGCCTGTAATCCTAGCTACTCAGGAGGCAGAGATCAGGAGGATCCCAGTTTGAAGCCAGCCCAGGCAAATAGTTCTGGAGATCCTATCTTGAAAATACCCACCACAAAAATAGGGCTGATGGAGTGGCTCAAGGTGAAGACCGTTAGTTCAAGCCACAGTCCCACAAAAACAAACAAATAAAGTCTCATAGATACACATTACCTCCAATGGGTAATAATCAATTGCTATCATTATTCATATCAATAGTAACTTTCACAGAGTGTAAAGTTCTTAATTTTCATTAAGTCCAATTTACTAACATTTCTTTTATGAATTTTAGTGTTATAGTTACAAATTTCTGTCTAGCTCAATGACTTACATTTTCTTCTGAAAGTTTTATAGTTTTAGCTTTTACATTTATGTTTTAATCCCCTCAGGTTAATTTCATGTTCATGGTTTGCTGAAAAGGCCACCTTTTTTTTCAACTGACTGGCTTTGCCCCTTTATAAAAATAAAATGACCCCATATGTGTGGGTCTATTTTGGGACTCTTTATTCTTATTCACTGATCATTATTTAAAAGTCATTTGCAGCTGGGTGTGTTAGAACACACCTATAATCTTAGCACTTGGGATGCTGAGGCAGGTGGATTGTGAGTTCAAGGCCAGCCTGGGATACATAGTGAATTCCAGGTCAGCCTGGGCTATATAAGGAGACCTGTTAAAAAAAAATTTAATTCAAAAAGTATTTATTCCATTTTCTGTGAAATGTCAAAATCATATCCTTTACTCAATTTTTATATTGGTTTATTGATCATTTTTATATTGATTAATCTGTATCTTACTCTTTTTTTTCAATGAGCATGCATCTTTTGGCAATAAGAAGATAAAATGTAAAGTTATTATAATGAAATGCTTCAAAAACCCATGGAGTTTCCCTGGTACAGAACACTCAAGAGTCCATGGTAGGTGGTATTTTTTTATAGCTCCTTATCTAGGTGCATATTTTCACTTCTATTTGAGAGAGGAAGCCTGCATACTTAACAAGGAGTATGTGAACTTAAAGACCTAAGAGTTACTCTAGACTACTTACCTTTTGACCAAGAGCACTTGAATAATCACAAACTCTGAAACTGTAAGGAGTTTTATGGCTCTTAGTCATCACTTCATTACATCTTTCAATGACTCTGGAGGCTGATAGGACATTATCAGTGATCACTATTTTGCAGATTTTGAAACTTTGGAACGGTAAACTGACATTATCATATGGAAGGCTACATTTAGCAGCTAGCTTAAAATTCATTTGATTCTTACCAACTATGGCAAGTTTTGGTTTGGACCCTAGTATTCTTTCTAATTTGCAATCAACATGAGGATCCCTACTATTGTAAACTGTTAGCAAAGCCATTGGTGGACAGGCAGTGTGTGGATGCTGGAGTCTAATATCTATCTCTACTTACCTTTGGCAGCAGTCAGCATGGTGGAGGCCAGCTCACACTGCTGTGATTCCAGGTGTCCAAGTGTGAACCAGCGAGGATATCTGCTGGGTACAACAGACACCATATGGTGAGGGTGGGAATTGTCGCCTGCAGAAGCTGAGTTTTCTAGAACAGGTAACCTAGAAAACGCAGGAAGATTCAGTTACCAGTCATTGTGGCCATTTTGAGCCATCTTAGATTGCTTTTTGTTGGGGAGAAACTGGTGAAGGAAAGATTAAGAGCTTTGAGGGTTGTTAAACCTACAGTACTATATGCTACATGAGGTGAATGCTATTCAAACCGAATAGTTCCCACTGCAAATGGATTTGAAAGGCATGTCAAGAGCCATAGGGCTATTTTAAAAAGTATGTCAAGGAATTTCCTTTTTAGCTGAGGAATTCTCTCAGTCTTATGACCTAACTAAAATTCTTCTGTATGGTCTGCTGCATCCCAGATCCACAGATCTTATTCTAGTTTGGAAATGAGATTGTTTCTATGTTTCAAAGTACACATACTCCCAGGTTCCTCTGGGTACCTATGCCTGGGTACCATGACTCAGTTGTTATGGAAGGGCTCAAACCCATTCTCAGGCTGCCTACTTGTTTTCAGAACAGGGAGACTCAGGTCTTGGTTACTCCATATCTATTAATATCTCAGGGGCATCCACAGACAATCCATTGTGAATATAGCAGGAAGCCAAGTAGGTCACCAATGAGGAATCCCAGATAGGAATTCTAGATCATATGAAAATATGTGAGTCACTGTAAGGTAGGCTTGTGATAGGTCAACAGAACAGAGAAAGAGGGAATGAAAAGAAAGTAGAGCAAGTAAAGAAAGAAAGCAATGGAGACTTCTGCTTTTGTGGAGGCAATGGGTTGGAAATGGGTTACCCACCTCATGGCACGTAAGGCTAATTTATAGGACAGGTCTGGATCGTGAGGCAGCAGAGCTGAGAACAAATACTTCGCAAAGGTATGCATGGGAACACTCTCTCGGTGGATGACTTCTCCTAGACCGCTGAAGGGGCCTCCTGAAGAAAGAAAATAAACCAGCAAGTTTATTTCTATGCTTCTACTTGACCTAGACTTGGGAGCCCCAGGGTCCCATGTGTGTTTACAGCCATGGGAACCTTCATTACACATTTTTTCTTTTTTTGGTAGCACTGGGGTTTCAACTCAGGGCCTTGTACTTGCTAGGCAAGCACTCTACCACTTGAGCCACACCTCTTGCTCAAGGGAACTTTCATTACTTTAATATCATAAATGTTCCTGTGTCTGCTTGAGAGGGGAGTCCAGCATCACAGCCAAAGATACTATGACAATAACCCTCTCTCTACTTACCTTCCAGCAGTAAGATGCACTGTTTCCGCAATGTTTGCACTAGCTCATCGTCTAGTTGCAGCTCCTGGAGTTGGCTTAGGAGTTGTTCCTCATTACGGCATACCTTATCCTGTGCATAGAGGCCTTCAGGCATTACCCTCTGTTGACCCATGCCCATCAGAGCAACTTCCAGGGCCAAGGACAGGTAGGACTCACTGCAGCCTGCAGCCACAGGTACATGCTGGTACACAGGGAGTCTGCTTTCATTTATATCTGAGGGCAATAGACACCAGGTTCTTTAGGGCAGGCTTAGTAGATTCTTCTTTCCTTCTACCCCTCCCACTTTGGGATACCACTTGCTCAATAGTTACTACAAAAGCTGAGTAAGAACCTCAGAGCAGTAAGGAAAATACACAGAAAAATGATTAAACAGAGAAACAAAGATTCGTACATCTTTCATCAGCTGGGAATATATAAAATCTTATTTTTTGCTGGCACATTGTGTAATGTCATAATTGTTGTGTCTGTCTCTTTCACTATAGTGTGAACACTGCATGTGATTCTATGTATGTATAAGATGAGATTCTATCTTATTGATCTGAGAATCTCTTGGCCTGACATGTGGAAGGAGCGACATACACTGAAGAAGTGTATGTCAGTGGTGAACAAATAAACCAAGTACAACCTAAAGTTTTTCAGGCTATAAATGTTATTGTGCAGATGAGACACACTAAAGATGATGATCCTCTATGCAGGGAATCAATAGTAACATAAGAGCAACCCTAGATTGGCTTAGGGTTAACCCTTATATCTCTACTCAGAGAAAAATCTGAACCCATCAATTAAACTTTAGTAACACTTCTAAGTTATTACTATTTTATATGAATTCACAATTTCAGGAAAAGAATACCAGTTTAAAAGTCAAGGTCTTTGCCAGGCGCTGGTGGCTCACGCCTATAATCCTAGTTACTCAGGAGGCACAGATCAGGAGGATTGTGGTTCGAAGCCAGCCTGGGTAAACAGTTTGAAAGACCCTATCTTAAAAAACCCTTCACAAAAAATAGGGCTGGTGGAATGGTTCAAGGTGAAGGCCCAGAGTTCAAGCCCCAGTACCGCAAAAAAAAAAAAAAAAAAAAGTCAAGGTCTTAGATGGGCATGGTGATATGTACTTATAGTTCTAGTTATTCAGGAAGCTAGGGTGGGAGAACTGCTTAAGCCCATGGCCCATGAGTTCAAGACCAGCCTGGGCAACAGTGAAATTCCTTCTAAAAAAAAAAAGTGTTGTTTTTTTTTTTCTTTTTCCTTCATCCGATAAGTAAATGAAGATTATTAAATGGTATGGTAGGTCTTGCTAGTATCACAAAGATAAGTTAGTCACAATTTCTGCTTCCGAGTAACTGATAGACTTGTAAGAGATATTCACTTATAAACAAACTTTAATGTAGTGAACTGAATACTAAAGTAGAGGTAAGTCAATTCATTATAGTGATGGCACAAAGAATGATAAAGTTTGTCTAGTTGACTATTTTGCCCTCTATGTCTCACTTGTAAAATTGCTACAGAACCATCACGAGGGAGAATGTTCAAAGGAAACCAGAGTATTACAGGACTGCAAGGCATATAGTCTTAAAAAAACAAAACAAAACATGGTTTCAATATGTTGCCCACACCCCTGAACTCCTGGGCTCAAATGACCTTCTTGTAGTCTTCCTCCTAGAGCCTCCAAAATAGCTAGGATTATAGGCATGCACCACCATGACCAGCTTGCTACACACAAACTTTTTTTTTTTTTTTTGCTTTAGTTATTTTTGGATGGAGTCTCACATTTTGCCCGGAGCTGGCCTTGGAAAACAGTCTTCCTGCCTATGGCCTTCCAAGTAGCTGGGATTACAGGCATGAATCACTGTACCCAGTCTTTGAGGTACATACTTTTTTTTTTTTTTAAGTGGGATTGGGTTTTGAACTCAAGGCTTTGTACTTGAGTCACAATTCCAGTCCATTTTGCTCTGGTTATTTTGGAGATGGGGTACCATGAACTATTTTCCTAGGCTGGCCTCGAACCATGGTCATCCTGAGCTCAGCTTCCCAACTAGCTAGGATGTGAGCCACCAGAACCCAGCAATATGCACACTCTTGATGGAAGTCTTCTCCCATTTCCAGACTATTCTGAAGTTCTGGCCTCTGACTCTTGAAATTCCTCTACCCTTTCTTATTCCTCTTGGACTATATTCTTAAGGCATTCATGGCAGGGAAATGAGAGGAGCTAGGAAGCTGGCAAAGTAAAATGGGAAAGTAGAACAGGGTCAGAACACAGGATGGGAAAGAAAGGAAGTCTAAGGAAACCTCTCAGGTTTCCAGTTTGGACAAGATGGAAAGCTTCAAGAGGGATAGAACTGAGTTTGGCGGGGAGGAGAGAACTGCCAGAGCAGTCCTAGCTTATCTCAGGCTGATCCTTGTACCTGACACTTCCATATAGCCATCATCATTCAAGCGGCAGGCCTCAGTCAAAGTGAGAAACAGGCAGCCAATGGGGTCCAGGGGGTGGCCTACCCAGCCCTCCAGGTTTGTGATGGTTGTGGTTCCTCTCTGCAGCAGTTCTGGAAATAAGCAGGTTCAAAGTTTTAGACAGTGATAGATGCACATTGCTCTTTTTCTCTGCTTTGGTCTCCTTAACAGTCTCATTTAGACTTTGACATTGAGAGTCAAAGCTTCCTTTATTGTCTTGCTTTTGTTGATAAGACCTTACAGCTCATCAACCAGCTAGCTATAAGGTCATGTGATCTGAATTTAAGTTGCCTACTGGTATTGCATATGTGGATATAGCTTTACAGCTTAAGAAAACAAAATGGAAACAAAACCAAAAAAAACACAAGAAGGGCCTTCTCATACTAGATCTTAGTGGGCCTTTTATCCACACTGAAGGCTACATAAGGGGTAGAGCTGAAGGAGGGCAGGCAGGCATCATGGTTCCCATTTCACAGATAATAAAACTGATATTCATACAGAGAAAGTGAGGTATTCCACACAGCAGGCAGAATTACTTGGCATTCCCTAGCTCCTGCATCATGATACTTAATGAAAATAAGGTTCTGGGTCTTTATCCCCTGAGGATCCTTATCAGCATGAGGTCTAAAGAGGTTAGATGGCATCAAATCACAATACCTTTTTTCTGATGCTTGTAGATTTCCAGCTGTCGCTGCTGCTGCAACCTCAGAGTATTAATAATAGCTACTGTGAGTCTGAGGGCCTCTTTTGGATAACCATGAGAACGCAGGGCATCAACTCGAGCACAAGCTGTAGGCACATGCTCTACCAGATAAGAAGAAAATATTTTGGTGGAGTTAAAATTTCAAATTAGGAAAATTTGTGCTTGACAAAGGGAGTTTATATTCAGTCTAGTTCTTCAAATTTAACCTGATTATCTATTTTATATCAGGAATTGTGTTATTATTTTCAAGAATATAAAAAGTCACAGGAGCTACCTTGAAAGAATTACTTTGTAGCATCAGTGTAGTGATACAGTGTAGAAGGGATACAGAACTAAACAAAATGCAGTATCTCTCTGTAAATATGTACTAACCCAGTGAAGGTAGCAACTAACTGCCTAAAGGAAAAGGCCTCATTATCAAATTAATGATAAATTCATTTATCAGTTCTGTATTTCCCAAAGATCTGTTACTATATGCCAAGTAGTATGCTGGGCAATGGAAGTGTAAAGATGGGTAAAAAGTGGCTACTGATTTCAAAGAGCTCACAAATGATACATAAACAGATAATTATGGAACAGTTAAGTAAGTGACATGACAGAAACATTTACAAAGAAAATGTTTGAACTGTGCTTTGAAAGACAAGTAAGATTATGAATAGGTAGATAAATAGGGAAGCCATCCTGGAAAAAGAAACACATAAATAAAGGTGTATAAGTAAAAGCATGAAAAGTATTCTATGTACTATCTGAAGAGCAGTTCTAGGTGGCTAGAGTTAGGTTATGTGGTTGGAGATGAACTGGAAAGATAGAGTCTGGAATGTAAAGAGGTTTGAATGCCATTCTAAGCAATTTAGATTTACCTTAGTATAATTGAAGATTACTAAAGGCTTATAAATAGATGAGTGATTATGACAAGCCTTACAATTTATTTTATCATCTCTTTCAAAGCTAATATTAAAAATTATAGAAATAACTGCAAAATATATAAAAATATAGATAAGCAAAATATAAAAGTGATAGTTACTCTTTCCAGCTTCATGTATATTTACTTTTCTATCAATTTTTTTACCAAAAATGGGATATTATAACCATTGTTTTATAATTAGTTTTTTTGCTTACTAGTATATTGTAACTCTTTCTTTATATCAAAAAATTACTTTTCATTCCATTGAGTATGCGTTCATTCATTGGATTAATCAACCCCGTATTTTTGGACATTCAGATGGTTTCTAACTTTTCTATCTGTACATTATTTATACCTGTGAGCTAATAAACCCCTTATCATTATGTATATATCTTTAGTTAATTATGGTGCAGGGTAAATTCCAAGATACAGAATTCCTTGATCAAATGGTATGAATGTATTTCAAAGGCTTTTGACAGGTATTGCTGAAATATCCTTCAAAAAGGTGGTAAGCATTTATATTCCTATTTTCACAGGCTTGTTAGGTTTATGTTTTAAAAGTGTTGGATCAGGGAAGAGGAAAGATGATCAGAGGGAACTTCAGATGGTGACCCACAGTGAGTTTGGCCAAGAAAGCTTTTAAAAGATCTCTGAAATATAGAGATTCAGTAAGAATTTGAGAAAGACAAAAATATGGGGCAAGGAATGGAGACAGGGAATTGGGAGAAAACAATGAAAATTTATGTCAAAAAATGAGTATTTAAAAAAAAAGAATATCTATTTTGTAATGGGTGTTCTGTAATAATCGTGAACAGACTACTAGCTGGGTACTGGTGGCTCATGCCTGTAATCCTAGATACTCAGAGGGCAGAGATCAGGATGATCACTGTTTGAAGCCAGCCTGGGCAAACAGTATGCAAGACCCTATCTCAAAAGACCCATCACAAAAAAAGGGCTGGCGGAGTGGATCAAGTGGTAAGAATGCCTGCTTCACAAGCTTACGGCCCTAAGTTCAAACCCCAGTGAAGCCAAAAAACTAACAAACAAACAACAACAAATCAGACTGATTTCAAGCCAGAAAATTATTTCAGAGGAAGATTTAAACTCAAGATGGAACAGGAACATAAGATGGGAAAGAGGAGAAAGGAAGACAGCTTAATGACAAATGTAGATTTTGTTATAGTTACCAACACAGGGTAATTTAAATTTCGAACTTAGTGCTTTTCAAGCAAAACACATAATTTCAGAGTAGAATATAATTTTGCTCAGTAACTGTTGAAAGAGAAAGGGAGGGAGGGAAGGAAGAAATGAAAGAGAGAGAGGGAGGGAGAGAGACAGAGAGACAGAGACAGAGAAATGTCTAATGGCTCTGTTAATACTCTCAGATGTATCAACTCCTTTACCTTCCCAAAGTTTAGGGGACAGAAAACAAATTCCTGTTTCAGGTTACTGTACTTCAGCTACGCAAATGGCTTCTTAGGCTTCAGAAAAATATCCTGAGTTGGTAGTAAAGGCCTCAAGAGAGCTGTGTGAAGACTGTCCAAATTATAGTTGGTGTTCCTGTAGATGGTTCATTTGGGCCTGGTATGAGGTGAGGTTGGGCTCTGAAATTCTTATAGGAGGGTTAGACTTACCAAGCCATAGTGGTTGGCCATGGGAATTAAAGAGCAGTCGCTCGTTTTCCCGCTGACAGGCAGGAGCTGTATATATATCACTGCTGATTATTCGCTGTAGGTGGCTGTCCTGCCAATGTAATTCACGGCCTTCGATGGCTCTAGTGAACACTGTTCGTCTTGGTCGGGATAAGGAATCTGGGAAAATAAAAAAATACTGTAGTGCAATGTTGGGTAATTTGAAGCTCTAACTCCTGAGTCTTCTCAGGACTTCTGTCAGCTTATGCTGACAGTAGACTGCTTGTCTTCAGACTGGAGTCTCACCATGTTATTTCTCTTTAGGAAAAGGGCTGCAGACAATGTAAGACTTTTTATTTTTTTTTAAAGAAAATTTTTAGTATCCTCTTTTCTACTTTCTTTTAAGACTGTTGAGTTGGCTCGATAGTTTAGTGCTAATAGCTAACATTTTATTGACAATATATGAAAAGGGTTCAGAGAAATGCCTGAATCATTATTCAATATAACCTGCGCTTTGCCTATTTTTATCTCATTCAGTCTCACAATACAATATTTCCCCCATTTAAAAATGAGTTAATAGAGGCCCAGGGAGTCCCTTGTGGAGACAGATTGCTTGGCTTTTCAGTTGGAATTCGTAATCCCCTTTGCTGTGTAGCTCCTTCAACTTAGCCATTTTAGTCTTCACAATTTCTTCACATAGGTTAGCATGTCTTATCAAACAGACTGTAAACTCTCCGTGGCACACTGGTAAACCACACATAAGATATACTTTTTAAGAACTGTGGACTCATGGGAATGAGTTTTTTACTTAAGAAAATAAAAAGGGATCATTTAATCAACAGTTTGCCAAGTAAGTGCAGCTGAAACTATTTGGGGATCAAGAATTAAACTATATAGATACTTCCAGAAATATCCAAATTAGGCGCTCATGAACTGATTCCATGTTAAAAAAACAAAACAAAACAGGGAAAGTCTTTAAAACAGGTCATTTCTTTAAGTTTAATATATCCTACTGGGTATCGGCTCAGATTCTTAAAGGATACCATCATTAGAGTAGCACTGATAGTACTTATTCAAATTGCTTCTTCTTTATGTTGTTACTCAGTGGAAACACACTGACTCTTCTATTGGCTGAAGTCTAAACCTCCTTCCTGCTGAAATGAGAATTTGCCATGAGTCTGCTCAGCCCATAGTGGGGACAAAGCTTCTACTGTGTCTTATAATTCACTAAATCAGAAATAATGCATGCCTGATTTATAGCAGATACCATTATAGGTGCTCAGGATGTATGAAGTTCCTGTCTTTATTGACCTTAACATCCAAATAAGGAGAGACAGTTAAATAAATATATAGTATATCAGATGTATCATAAGGTTACAAAGTGGTACAGAAAGACTAAAGCAGAGTTAGGAAGAAAGGCAAACTAATGTTAGGTTGGGGGTTATTGTTTTATGTAGGCTGATGTCTAATAAAATAATATTTGAACCAGATGTGGCAGTCCATGCCTGTTATCCCAGCACTTGTAAGACTGAGGTAGGAGGACATGAGTTTGAGGCCATGCTGAGCCACAGAGTGATTTCAGGCCGGTGTGGGCTACATGGGGAGACTCTGTTTAAAAATAAACAACAGCAAAAAAAAAAAAAAAAAGATAATATTTGAACACCTGGGTGTAGTGGTGTATGCCTGTAGTTCAAGCTACTAGGGAGGTTGAGATAGAATGATCACTTGAGCTAGGAACATAGTAAGACCCTGTCTGTCTCAAAAACAAAACAAAACAAAAGGGCCAGGTGCTGGTGTCTCACACCTGTTATCCTAGCTACTTGGAAGGCAGAGATCAGAAGGATCACGGTTTGAGGCCAGTCTGGACAGATAGTTTGCAAGACATCTTGAAATACCCAATATGAAAAAGGGCTGGTGGAGTGTCTCAAGTGGTAGAGTCCCTGCCTAGCAAGCATGAAGCCCTGAGTTCAATCCCCAGTACTGACAAAAAAAAAAAAGATAACATTTGAATACAAATCTGTAGGAACTGAGGGGTAAGGCTTGGAGATAATTGAGGGTAGACTATTCTGGGTGGAAGTAATAACAAATACTAAGTCCTGAGGAAGGAATATATTTGAGTAGTGTTTGGGCACAGCAAAGGGGCCAATGTAGTTGAGATAAGAGTGAGAAGGCTGTTAGATGGCCAATGCAATAATTGTAAGAGATGATGGTGGTAGGCCAGAGCAATCAGCAGTAGAGATAATAAGTTGTTGGATTTTGGTTATACTCTGAAGGTAAATGTAATAAGATCTGCTCACAGATTAGATGTGGGGGTGAGAGAGAGAGAAAGAGAAGAATCAAGAATGATTCCAAGGTCTGGGAGCATGGCTCAAGTGGTGGAATGCTTGCCTAGCAAGAGCAGGGTCCTGGGTTCAATCCCCAGCACCAAAAAAAAAAAAAAAAAGAGAAGAAAAAGAACAACTTCAAGCCAGGTATGTTGGAGCATGCCTATAATCAAGCACTCAGGAAATTGAGAGATAGAGACAAGATCCAAGTTCCAGGCCAGCCTGGCATACATAGTAAAACCCTGTCTCAAAAAACAAACAACAGCTATAAAAAAAAAAAAAAAAGGGCTGGAGGCATGGCTCAAGCAGTAGAGCATCTGCCTAGCAAGAATGAAGCCCTGAACTGAAATCCCAGTATAGCCAAAAGAAAAAAAAAAAAAGAAATACCCCTGAAATGTCTTTTAATATGTATAAGCATAGATATCAAAATGACAGTGAATATACACCACTGCAATAGAAAGGAAAGACCTGGATAAGGGGTACACATTTGGAAGTTGTTAATACACAGATAATTATTGAAACAATGCAAACACCAAAGTATTATAGAAAGAGAAGTGATCTGATGACTGAATGCCAGGCACTTAAAATATTTTAAATATTTTTAGATTGGGAAGTGGGAAAGAGACAGTAATGCAGCCTCAGAAAGAGGGGCAATGAAGTAATGAGAACAAAGACAGACGGTTCCTAGAAATCAAATGAAAGGCTGGGTACAGTGGTGAATACCTGTAATTCCAGGATTATGGATGCAGGAAGATTGTGAGTTTGAGGCTAGCCTGGGCAAAGTTGCTATCTCCAAAACAAAATAAAAGGCAAAAGGGCTGGGTATGTAACTAAAGTGATAAAAGCTTTACCTAGCATGTACCCTGGTTTCAATACTTAATAACACACACACACACACACACACACACAGAGGAAAGAAATGAAAAGAATGAAAGAAATCAAAGGACAAAGTTGTTTCAAGGAGAGAGTAATCAATGGGTCAAATATTGCTAAAAGGTCAATTAAGATTATGACTGGGTATGGTGGTACATGACTGTAATCTCAGCTACTCAGAAGGCATAGGAAGGAAAATCACAGTCCAAGGCCCTGGGCAAAAACATGAGATTGTATCCAAAACACAACTAAAGCAAAATAATGCTTTACTCAAGTGGTAAAGCATCACTTGAAAGGTCTTGAGTTCAAACCCAGTACTGGCAAAAAAAAAAAAAAAAAAAGATTATAACTGAGACTCAACCACTAGACTTACCAATGAATGGCATTAGCAACCAGTATGAGAGCTGTTTCAGTAGTTAGAAAACTTGACTGGGGTGAGCTCAAGGGAGAATCACAGCAGAAGAAACAGAGACAGTAAATATATATTATTCTTTTGAATGAATAAAACAAATCCTTCTACCGCAGAGAAACAGTCTGGTAGACAGAGAGGTATGTAGAGTCACAGAGTATTTTTGTTTTGTTTTGTTCAATTATGGGAGATAAAACAATGTGCTCTATACTCACAGGAGTACTCCATGAAGGGGGCAAAACTGGAGATGTAGAAGAGACTGGAGATAATTCCTAGAGCAATGTCTTGGTGAAAAGAAAAGCAATAGGACCATGGATATAAATGGAGCACTTGGACTTACATAGAAGTACAAATAGCAGATGGTCATAGACAGTAATTCTTTGACCCACTAGGACAATAATTCTTTTGACTCAGCATCCAAGAGATGATGATGGAGTGTTGGAAATTCTCTTTGATTACTTCTATAATGTCAGTGAACAGGACGCAAGACTCAGCTGAAAGCAAGGAAGAGGAGGAAGTATGGAATGTTTTGAGGAAAAGATAAGTGAAATAACAATTTAAAAGAGTAGGAGGGAAATATCTAATCAAGGTCTAGAAAACATTATGGGCCAACTTGAATTAGTGGTCCTAAATTTAAAATAAGACCAGTTACCATGGTCTTATTTTAAAGACCATGTTCAGCCATGTTCAGCTGTATAGGTATGAGTATCAAGTAACTAGAGAGTTGGAATGAGCTAAGTTTAGAGTTTTGTCATGAGTGTAACACAGGAAAAGAGGGAATTCAGTGTGTATCAAGGGAGTGATTATAGTGATATAGCCAGGAATCTACCTGAAATAAGGAGAAAAATGAGGCTGTTGACATAGTGAAAACATTAAGATCAAAATTTCCTAACAGGTCAAAGAACTACTGGACAGGGACATTAAAGAAAATAAGTAAAAAAGATTGGTGGTCGTAACTAGAGATGTTTAAAATTGAGATTACTAAGAGGGTGTAGTTATCAGTAATGACAAGGTTTAGGTTATGACTTTGGAACTGGATGGTTAAGTTATGGTAGAAGATGAGACTATTAGAAAAGAAGATGTCAAAGAACTGAGAGGCCATGGTATTGGAAAGGTCATCTATGTGGCTACTGAAAAATCATCAAGAATTATGACAGGAGTAGTGACAGAGTATTAGTAAGCTGACAGTAACCACTAATCTTCAAGGAATGAGGAGGATGGGTAGAGAAGTCTACAGGCAACCAAACCCAGGAAAGTAGTAGATAGTATAGTCTAATGGCATAAACTTTAAACCTGGAAGGTATCTTATAAAGGTGGAAAGGATAATAATATATAAATGCAGAGGGAAGTAACAATGAAGAACCAATATAGTAGTATAACAAGGAACCAGACTGGAGGCATATGTTTGTCCCTCTATGCCATCCAAAGTCAATATTAAAATAATGACTTCCTTGTGTTATGTAGGTTAGATTTGAGTGTTACACAACACTTCCTTGTGTTATGTAGGTTAGGTTAGGTTTGAGTGACAAAACTGTAGTCTTTTTAGAGCTTATTACCTTAGTTATATTAAATACAATGATAACATTTCTAGTACAGTACATCAAGCAAAAGTAATAATTTAAGTGATTTCTTCTTTGAGATTAAAAATATCAACAGTTATTACTTAAAAGGAAAAGGACCACGAATAAAATCATTGTCTAATAAAATCTTCTACCAATAAAGAATCTCAATGAACTAAACAATGCTAAATGATCAGTTGTCAACATCAAAGCTTGAGTTAGATAAAATAACAGCAATGTGAATGCTGATATCAAGTGATGTCTATAGGATATGACTCTACCCAGATAACTACTATATAAGAATTTGAGGGGGTGGAAAAGAACAGAGAAAGATAGTAAGAAAGGCTATGGTCAGATACATTTTTTTTTTTTTTTTGGGTAGGCCTTCTATCTCTCCCTTGAGGCAGATCTTCTGAGCTACCCAAACCAACCCAAACTGAGGCCAAGATTCTTTAGACACAGAGAACCTAAAAGGTAAACAGGAATCATGTGGAGAGTTCTAGGACTTTATGCTGTACACTATAAGGATACTCTAGATGTGGAAAAGGACAGAACCTCCAATGTCAAAGACAAAAGCTTACCCTTATTTAAGACTTAACATTTTGAGATGAATAAAACAATAGGCTTTTGTTATCTAGGATGGCAATTTTGACGCCAAAAGGCTATCTAGACACCACTGTTCTGGGGCTTTACTCTCCCACCTTTATAGTTCTAGGCATAAAGAACCTAAAGGACACTTGGCTTACCTGCACTATGATTGGCATTCTGGGGAAGTGCATTGGTGATGTTGGGCAGTTCATTCCCATAGTTCCCATCCTCCAAGGGACATACATCTAGGTCACTCCACTTCTGTAGTTGCTGTAGCCAACAGGATTTTTCCTCCAGTTTGCAGTGTGGGTTTAAAATTATGCACACCCATAAAGCCCCTAGAAAATAAAGCAATCCACATTCTTGACGTCTCTCCTTTTATGTATGTGTAAGCCTTAAAGTTTCAGCTTCAGTTTTGGGTGACAGAGAAAGTCTCTAAAGCAGTAGCAGCTGGAGTATAGCTTAGTGGTAAGCATGCATAAGGTTTTGGGTTCAATCTCCAGTACCAAAACCAAAATAACAATAACAATAAAACCCAAAACAATACAAACAACAACCTTTCATCTTTTTTCAATATATATTTAAAAATTGCTAAGATTTTCAGAATCTATCCCAAAGCTTCCTGAAGGAAGGTGACTATCTTGATACATGTATCTGTGTGCCTTTGATAATGAACAAGCCAGATTTAGGCTTGAACACTGATCCTAAATCTGCAGTCTAACAAATATCTATTGACAATCTTCTATTCACCAAAAGCCCTGTACTGGTGAATAAGAGACTGTTTCTACCCTTGAGAAACTGTCTAGTGGGGAAGAGAGCTAAATAAGTATAATTCTATTTGAATATAATGTTAATATAAACGTATGTTCAGGATATAACAGCAGCACAGAGGAAAGGCATGTAGTATACAAGGACAGGATTGGATGGAAGGTGCTCATTATGGCTAGTTGGACTTATTAACCTTCAAATTCCTCAATTGTAAAACTGAGAAATTTATAGGGAAAGTATCATAATTAATGGGATAAATTTGCAAAGTGTCTAGTATATTACCTGTTACAAAGTAATATCTTAGTATTTTCTTTTTCCAAGGAAAATGATTTATTTGGGACTTGGGTTTTGAAACTGTTGGTTAACTTGTGTTGACTTAAAACCATTACTTTTTTCAATTTTCTGTTACTGTAGCAGAGTATCATATACTTCAAATAACCAACAGGTACTGTTTCTTTGATCACATCACCTTCCTTTCTAAAGAAACCTATTTCTTTTTCAGGTTGGCTATGTGGTATGCTAGGTAATTTCTCAACCTCAAGCTAGAAATAAGCATAGATGCAGTGTTTTTTGTTTGTTTGTTCTTGAGACAGGGTCTTGCTATAGCCTAGGCTAGCCTTGAATGTGCAATCCTCCTGCCTTAGCCTCCCAAGTGCTGAGATAATAGGCATGTACCATCAGGCCTAGTAATGCAGTGCTTCTTAATTTAAACAACCTTTGGAATGGAGCTACATCCATGGATGGAGGTACATTCATATACACTATTTCAAAGTCTCTCAAAGTCAAATAGGATTTTTTTCTTTTTTGGTAGCACTTTGCTAGGCAAGTGATTGCCATCTGAATCACCTCTAGCCCTCAAATAGGAAATTAAAAAAAATTCTTCTTGGGGGGTGGAGGGGAGAGTGAGGGGGCAGGGGGGAAAGATGACCCAAACAATGTATGCACATATGAATAAATGAATAAACAATAAAAAATTATTCTAATCCTTAATTTCAGGCACTAACTGAAGATGAAAGTTCATTTCTATTGTCCAACTCTCATTTTTTTTAATGTATCATGAAAAAGACACTATATTAGGTAGTAATTGCAACAATGGCTCTAAAGGAGATTATAGTATTAGTAACATTAATTTAAAGAAGTATTTTTCCTCTGTAAAGAAAAAAATGATTTTCATATTTAATCTTCACATGTAGAAAAGAGGATCAAAAAGAGATCATTATATTTAGCTACTAGTACTCTAGTGATCTAAGTAATGGCAAAATCTGTAAGATAATAGAAATGGAAAACAGTGGGTAAGCTGAGAGTAACTTAGGAGGTAAAGAAACAAATTACTAATGCTATAATCATGTAGGAATTCCTATTTCCTACCATTTGAGTTAAGTGAGTATAAATACTTTCCCCTGTAAATTAAGAATTAGTTTTCTGGGCTGGGCATCATGGCTCATACCTGTAATCCCAGATATTTAGGAAGTAAAGGTAGAAGGATGATGGTTCCAGGTCAGCTTGGGTGAAAGTTAAAGAGATTTTAACTTAAAGAATACGCTAAGTATAATGGTGCATGCCTGTAATCCTAGCTATGTGGAGGACAGAGGTAGGAGGATCATGGTCTGAGAATGGATCTATACAAAGGCATGATACCCTATCTGAAAAATAACTAAAGCAAAAAGGGCTGGTGGCATGGCTCAAGTGGTAGAGTGTCTGGCTAGCAAGCATGACCTCTGAGTTCAAATCCCAGTACAGCAAAAAAAAAAAAAAAAGTTTTGTCTTATTATGTCCTTATGAATGTTTCAAAAACATGTAGAAAGTGTTACATATCTCAGAGTAAAAGCAAAAAATCTTGCAATTGCCTGTATATAACGGCATTCATAGGACTGTGTTATTAGTACCCAAAAACATATTTTCTTGCACCTTAAAAAAAGTATAAAAGACTCTAAGCAAAGGAAGCTATTATAGAAGTTTAAATTTGCCTAATTATTACATATTATATATACATATATATAATAGCTATCATTTATTTTTATCAGCTAGGCATTATATTAAGCATTTTATATATATTATCTCATCTGTCTTACAACTCTGAGGATCAATAAATCTTGTTTAGAAAATTGGAGGCAGAAAATGGGGAACCAAAAATTAATGCTAGGATTTTCTTTGTGAGCAACTAGATACATCTGAGGTTGTATACTGAAATTGAGACAACAAGAGGAAAACCAGGCTTTGGCAGGAAAAGTGAAAGTTCTTTTATGGCTATATTAAGTTTAAGATGTTTCTTTTGAAGTGACTGGTACCTGGACACAGCCTGGAGCTCAGGAAAAAGGTTAGGGCTAGATATATGGGTTTTTTTGTGGTGCTGGGATCAAACCTAGGGCCTCCTGCATGCTAGGCAAGCACTCTACTACTGAGTTACCCTGAGAGACATAAATTTGTTACTTACCTGCATCTGTATGGTGTTTAAAACAATGGGAATGAATATAATCACTTAGGTAGACAGTGTAGACAGGGAAGTGGGTTATATGGGCACTTAATATTTAGGAGAGAGAGAGACAGAGAGAGAGATAGTGTGTGTGTGTGTGTGTGTGTTTTGCAGTACTGGGGTTTGAACTCAGGGCCTACACCTTGAGGCCCTTTTTTGTGATAGGTTTTTTTTTTTTTCAGATATGGTCTCATGAACTCTTTGCCTGGGTTGGCTTTGAACTGTGATCCTCCTGATCTCTGCCTCCTGAGTAGCTAGGATGCCAGGCATGAGCTACCAGCACCTGGCTAGAAGTGTTGAGGAAAGGCCTATAAATAAGACTGAGGAAAAGTAGTAAGGAATGTAGGAAACCAAGAGGGTGTGCAGTTATGGAAACCAACAGAATAATAAGTTTCAAGAAGAATATGGTCAACTTTACTGAAAACTGCTAAGAAGTCAAGTCAGACAAAAACTGAGAAGTGACCATTTGTATCTAGCAATATGGAAGTTATTGGTGATTTTGACAAAACCTATTTCAGTAGAATAGCAACAATGAAAAAAAGAAATCCATTTTGGAGTGTGCCCCAGGGAGAACTGTAGGTGAGAAAATTGAATGACTGCAGATAACTTTTTCAAAAAGTGATGCTTTATGTGGAAGATGAGAAATGGGATTTTATAGTGGATAGTTGGAACATCAGAGGAAATGTTTCTTAAATTTGAGATTGAAGATTTAGGGGCATAATTATATGCTAATGGGAATGATCCAGTAAAAAGAAAAATTAATGATGCCAGAGAAAGGAGAAAATTGTAAGAACAAAGTTTTTGAGAAAAGGAGATAGAATAGAACCTAGAGCAAATATGAAGGATTGGCCTTTTACGGAAGCAGAGACATTTTATGAATTTTTACAGAAGATAAGGCAAAGCATATAAGTATAGACACGGACAGGTAAATATATTTGTAGGTGGGAGATGAGCAAACTTCATGTCTGATTACTTCTATTTTCTCTAGCTCAGGAACTAAAAGTAGTGAACTTATTTTTCTTTACGACTTTTATACCTTTAACTCCTACCTAGACCTTCCCCAGGTGAATAGCTCTTATGATGATTTTCTTAGATATGAAAATATCAGAAATGAGAGCTTTTCATAATGAAATGAAGTATACGAGAAGAACTTTAGAAGCACTGGCAGCCAGCTCTGCTTACTTCCTCTCACCTTTTTTCCCAAAGACCAAACCCAAGTCCATATCCCAATCCCATGACTGGCATTGAAATTACTCTTAGACATTCAGGCCTCAGATGACAATGACTCTCGGAAGAAGGCTAATTACAAATTCTTAAGGAGCACACACTTTAGAAACAAAAAAGCCATAATGAGATAGAATTGAGGGAGATGTTACAGAGGGTTGTTTGACTCAGAAAGAGTCAAACAGTGTGAGCCATCACTCACTAGTGGGTTTCCCTGAAGAAAGTACTTAAAATTTCTGCAGTTTTCTCATTGAAAACTATGGTGATGCTAATATCTTCCCTGGAAGTTCATACCTGCAATCTCTTCTGAGGAAAGAGTTTAGAAGCAATTTCTAAGTTGCCATGCTTTGTGTCATGTGACCCTATTACCCTGGATACAACTGGTTGATAGTAACTACACACAAATATATGTGTGTGTGTGTATTTTTTTTTTTTTTTGGTAGTACCAGGGTTTGACTTAGGACCTTGCCCTTACTAAGCAGGTGCTCTAACACTTGAGCCACTCTGCCAGCCCCCCTCCCTTCCTTTTTAAAAACATACTTTAGAAAGCGTGACTATAACATAACAGAGATAGTTTATCTATAATTATTCTGTATCCAGAAATAGATCTATTTCTTTGCAATAGATACACAAATACTTCATAGAGTATAATATTATAACCCCTCCCTTCCTTTTTAAAAACATTCTTATACTTTAGAAAGTGTGACTACATCACAGCAGAGATAGTTTATCTACAATTATTCTGCATCCAGAAATAGATCTGTTTCTTTGCAATAGATACACAAATATTTCATAGAGTATAAGAAAATACTGCAGCTTTTAGTGACTGAAGCATGAATTATAGTCTTACAGCTGAAAGCTTCAGGGGTGTGGCTTCATGACTTTGGGACTGTACTTGGTTATTTGGAGGCTGATAAGCCTGAGTTTTTGATATGAGGGGTAAAGCTTTTTTATATCATCTGGTGCAATAATGGCTTTTGAGTTCTTATTAATAATGAATGGGTACATTATTAAGTGTTATCTACTAATCTCTGTGTGAAAGATTATACTCACATTGTTGCATTTAATTCTCACAATAACTCTATGAAGTATTTTCTTGTGGTATTGTCTATAAGTGGGCAATATGTTTTCTGGAGTACAGGAAATCTGAAGGAGTTGTATTAGAACTTTTAGAATATACTACATTAGAATCTTTTCACCATAACTCAAAAACAGGGTCATGGTTGGATGGTGAATTCAGGGTATGGAAGATTCTGAAAACAGGGAGAGAAGCTCAATATTAGCATTACAAAACTAGCCTTGTAGCAGGGGAAGGAAAAAGAGAAACGATGACCGTAAGAACCTAGAACAGAAAGGCCGTCCAGAAGACCACAGTTCCAATTGAATTTAACCAGAATAGTGGTGATGGAAAATAAAAAGTGAAAATGGACATTAATTTCTTTGAACAGTCAAGGAATCAAATAAAGTTGGTGACTGGATTGTAGGGAATGAAAGAAAAATGAGTGTTCAACAATAAATTTGGTAGAGTAGGAATGATGATGCCAATGTTGGAGTCACAGAAACATTTCTTTTTTTTCAACAGAAGGTCCTAGGTTCATTTTGGTAATGACCAATGGGCAGCTGCTAATATGGATTTCATACTCCATAAATGGAATGAAAATAAGATTGTGATCATAATATAAGCTCTAATACTATGATATTTTTAAAAAGTTCTTAAAGGAGCACAAAGACAGAATAAAAGGCCAAAGCCTAAGTATTAGAAACTGCCTATGTCAAAGAGGTCTGGCTAGGAGTGATACAGAAGGGTTGACTTTGGGAAAACAACAAAAGTGAGGCAAATAAGTATTTGGAGAGCTAAGCTCATGCTACACAACAGAAGCCAAATGAAAAGGTTTTCTTTGAGCAAAGACTTCCATGTAGTTAACTTCTGGAATAGAATGATAATGTCAGTAGCAAAGCACAATTCTGTAGAAGCAACAAAAGTGAATTCAGAGTTACTCTGGGTAGCCTCTGTAGAACCTAAAATTTTCTACCAGTCAGACTTAGCAAGACCCACACAATCACTGATGGCAAATATACACTAACAGTGGTGCTAGCGGGCAACCTGGCAGGACACAGCATTTCTGAGAGACAGGGACTTACCTAGCTCATCCCAGAGCTGCCTGCACTTATCTGTCATGCTTGTTCCTTGCTGCCTCCAGAGTGTGAGTCGTGGGTCAGCCATGAACTGCTCGGTTATAAGTGTCAGCATCCTGGCTCCATTGGAATCTCTCATCCGCAGCATCTCTCGAACCTGGCATGTTAAGGAGCAGCAAGAGATTGGTGACAGCATAGCATAAAAGAGTAAAGGGAGAAGGAAGGAGAATAGGGGGAGAAGATAAAGTATTTAATACAACATATCCAGAGTCAAAGAGAAAAGTCTTATTCTTAAGTAAAACCTCTGTGGGGCTTGGTGTGGTGGTGTATGTCTGTAATCCCAGCTACTTCAGAGGTGGAGATTGGGAGAATCACAGTTTCTAGCCCAGCTTGGGCAAAAAGTTAGTGAGATTCTATCTCATCCAACAAGCTGGGTATGGTGGATTGTACTTGTAATCTCAGCTACACAGAACACATAGGTAGAAGGACTGAGGTCCCAGGCTGGCCCCAGGTAATAAAAGCAGACCCTTTCTGAAAAATAACTAAAGCAAACAAGGATGTGGCATGGCTCAAGTGGAAAAGCACCTGCTTGGTAAGCACAATGTTCTGAGTTCAAAATCCAGCATCACACACACAAAATTCTGCATGTATCAAGAAAGCCTGTTATGCATAATGAGATACCACTTCACACTTGCTAGGAAGGCTAGAATAAAAAAGACAATAACTAGCCAGGCACTGGTGGCTCACTCCTGTAATCCTAGCTACTCAGGAGGCAGAGATCAGGAGGATCACAGTTCAAAGCCAGCCTGGGCAAATAGTCTGAGATCCTATCGTGAAAACACCCATCACCCAAAAAAAAGGGCTGGTGGAGTGGCTCAAGGTATAGGCCTTGGGTTCAAACCCCAGTACTGCCAAAAAAAGAAAAAAAGATAGCAAGTAGTGATGGTTAGGATGTAGAGAAATCAGAACATCATACACTGTTGGTGGGACTATAAAATGATGCAGCCACCTTGGAAAATAGTCTACATAGAACCTGTACAAGAATGTTAATAGCAGCATTATTCATAATAGCCAAAAGGTAAAAACAACCCAAATGTCTATGAATAGACAATGGATTACTGCTCAGTCATAAAAAGGAATGAAGCACTGATTCATGTTATAATACAGATGAACTTGAAAAGCATCAGGCTAAGTGAAAGAAGCCAAAGACTACATATTGTACATATGATTCTATTCATATAAAAGCATAGGGAAACCTGAATAGACAAGAAGTAGATTAGAAGTTATTGAGGAGGAGAATATGGTGGAAATATTACGTACTTATGTATGAAAATGGAAAAATGAGACCTGTTGAAATTATTCTAAGAAGGGGAAGAGAGGAGGTGAATTTAAGTAAGATATATTGTAAGCACTTTATCCCTAGTACAACAATAATACAATAAATAAATTAAGAAAATTAAATTTAAAAAAGAAGTTATTGAGGACTGGGAGAGAGGCATGTGGAGGCTAAGAGTGATAGGTAAAGGTATGAGGTTTCTTTTTGGGATGATGAAAATGTGGACTACAGTGATGGATGCAAATATCTGTGAATATACCAAAAGACATACCAAAAAACACTGAATTGTATACTTTGAGTTTTTTTCTACTATTGGGGCTCAAACCCAAGGCTTTGTGCATGCTAGGCAAGCACTCTAGTTTGTACTTTCTGGCCCAAACTGTACACTTTAAGTGGGTAAATTGTATGGTATATGAAAAGAAAGGAAAGAAGAAAGAAGGAGGGAGGGAAGGAAGGAAGACCAACCTGCTATGAGAGCCCCCTGTTTCAGAAAACAATTTCTTTCTGGACACTGTTGAAAGTCTACTCTTTAAGGCATCTTCAGGAAGCTTTAGGTTCAAAGCAAAGAGAAGATAGTTAAGGGAGGACGGGAGGGAGGGAGCGAGGGAGGAAAGAAGGAAGGAAGGCTGGCTGGCCTGTTATGAGAGCCCCCAGTTTCAGAATACAAGTTCTTCAGGGACATTGTTGAAAGTCTATTCTTTAAGGCATCCTCAGGCAGCTTTGGTTCAAAGCAAAAAGAATATGGTTTCCTTCTAAAATCCCCCAGTAACTAGCTCATTTAGAGTGAAGCAGAAGGAATAGATAAGCAGGGTGAAGTGGTAGGGCTTCCTGGTGCTGCTTGCTCAAGTTGGTTCTGCTCAGCCTCTCCCACTAAGTTTCAAGCATTCAGTACAAAAGTGAGCTAGGTATGATGGATGAAGGCAGATGTGGTGAGCCCATTTTAAAATTTAGAACAAACAAGTAAATATGGGCTGGAGGAGTGGCTCAAGTGGTAGAGCACCTGCCTTGCAAGCACAAGGCACTGAGTTCAAACCCCAGCACTGCCAAAAAAACTCCACAAATAAATAAAAACCTTTTTACATCTTACCTTGGCAAACATTGAGTTGAGCTGCTTCCCAGAGCCATAGTAACCCCCTTGGGAGAGAAAGAGCTTCACTTGTTCTTTGACCTGTTCTTCGTCCAAATGCCAACAGTTCTCATCATCAATGCTGGCCCCAGCTGTGGGGTCAGGGGCACCTGTGAGTAATGGGCACAATGTGAGCATATTCAAATACAAATAGGTTATTCTACTTTAATAGGGACTTTGTCAACTGTATGGACTTAAAGAAATGTAAGCAACCTAAAGCTAGTTTCATGTGTAAGTTACAGAAAATTCTACGAATACCATCTAGAGGGGAAGTCTGGAAAGAAATACACATGTGACATTGTGAAATATGTATTTGGTGTGTCCTATTTCACAGCATACAACTGCTAAAATCCTTAGAATCTTCAAAGTGATGTGTCTTTTTGTATGCTAATGAGTTAACTGATGGCAGGTAGCCCCTAGGTAGCTTCAGGAGGGACTATGTTTACCAAAGTAGGATGAGAGGGTTGGAACTTTTAGTCACCTATCCTAACTTCTGGGGAGGGGAAAGAGGCTGAAGGTTAAGCTGATCATCAATGGCCAATGATTTAATCAATAATGATTTTGTAACGATGCCTCCATAAAACCCAAAAGGACATAGTTTGTAGAGCTTCCACATGCAGAAAACAGGGAGTAGCACACCTAGAGAGGGTATGGAAGTTTGGCTGCTCTTCATCTATACCTTATTCTATGCATCTATACCTTATTCTAGTTGTATCTTTTGCAATATTCTTTATTTTCTATATTTATTTTTTGAAGGATTTGAACACAGGGTCTTGTATTTCCTAGGCAGTGCTCTACCATTTGACCCATGGTCCCAGTCCTCTTTTGTAATACTCTTTATAAGTAAAATATTTCCCTGAGGTCTGTTAGCCACTCTAGCAAATTAATCAAACTTCAGGAGGGGGTTTGTGGGAACTTTGATTTATAGTCAGTCAGTCAGAAGCACAGCCAAAATAACCTGGGCTTGTGACTGACATCTACAGTGGGGAAAGGCTTTGGGATGGAGCCCTCAACCTTGGGTTCTCATGCTATCTCTAGGTTGATGGTGACAGAAATGAACTGGATTAGCAGACATCCAGCTGATGTTTCCAGCAGAACTGAATCTTTGGTGTGTATGTGTGTGAAAATCCCTACACATTTGGTCTTAGAACCATTCTGTGTTTTGTTCTGAGGGTATAGTAGGAGAAACTGAGTTTGGTTTTCCTTTATATCCTCAAACTACAAGAGGAAATGGTGATATCCCACCCCTGAAGGTGACATTTGTTTTCTTCTTTTTGCTTTTCTATTAAGTACAAATCTGCCTTAAAATACATGTGTTATTTTAAAACTAAAAGTACTTTCTTCAAGTATAAAAATTGCTTTTAAAGTCCACTATATAATTGCTCTCTAAAGCACAGGTAGAGTTGTACATAGGGTGATATATAAATTTATACTTAAATTATCTTTCATATCAATAACACCACTTAAAACACAGCTATAATTATGTATCCTTTTTCCCTAGTAGTCTTTTAGCTCCTTGCTCACACTTGAATCCCTAGTTGAATCTACAGCAGAATCATCTATAGTATAGTATAAGTAACAGGAATTTTGGAGATGTTTTTAGAATGTTCTGGAACTGAACCTTCTTTATTCACTGTTTTATAAACAGAGTCCAATGATGAGCTTTTAGAAATCTGTTGCCAAGTGACAAAAGACTGACTATAAGTCAACACCTTGTAGCTGTAGTCATGTAATATCATGTTTTAATCAGATACTCTACCTTTTTCCTTGACTTAAGAGCTGTGCTTAAGAGAAATGTGGATACAACAAAGCTACTCTTCTGCTGAGCTTTTTTAGTACATCTAACTCTCAAGGCAATTAGGATGGTTCACACATTCATTCATTCTACAAATACCTATTAACACAAATGATTGGCCAGTTTATGGTATCTACTATATGCTACTTTTCTTCAAATGTTTTATTTTAAACACAGGTTTTTTGTTTCTTTTGGTTTTGGTGTGACAGGAGTTTGAACTCAGGACTTTGTGCTTGCAAAGCAGGCACTCTACTGCTTGAGCCACGCCTCCAGTCCATTTTTACTCTGGTTATTTTGGAGACGGTCTCATGAACTATTTGCCTAGGCTGGCCTTGAACCTCAATTCTCCCGATCTCAGTCTCCCAAGTAGTTAGGATTATAGGTGTGAGCCATTGGTGCCTGGCTCTAAACACATTTTTAATAATCTCACTTTCCTTTTCAAAAACCTTCAGTGATGCACTGTTCTTACTAAATTAAGCCCAAATGCCTTAGCTTGTCATTCAAGGCCTTCTATGTTCTGGCCCTGTTTTTCATTTCTGGTCTTGTTTTCCCTGTATTTATGCTATGCTGCAATCAGAAACAATGTTCCCAGAAGCCAACCATATTTCCTATGATTTTACTTACATTTTTTTCCCTCCTATTCCCTCTAATCCGCTTTTTGACTAAAAAAAATCAACCATTCTCATTGTTAGTATTGTCTCAGCTCTAGAGTCAAAGCTGAGAAATGGAAAGCAAAAGTATACAGTGAGGCTAATATTCTGAGGTTTAGGTATTTTGCTTAGTGGTAGGATAGGCTCTTTATTACCCCTTCATTGAATTAACCTTATGACCCATTGCCACCTGCCAAAAGTCTGTTCGTTTTAAGCTCATATGCTCAGCAAATAAAGGCAACTGACACTCTTCATAGCACTTTATTATTACTTCTGTTGCATTCTGTTTTACATTGTAATTGTGCATTTCTCATATATTCCCAACTAAACTGAAATGTTTTTAAGAATAGGGGTTAATTTTTGTAACTCACAGTGCCTGGTTCATTATAGTACTGAGTTAATATTTATAGAATTTATAGTACTGGGTTAATATTTATAGAATGAGCAAATATATATCTCACTGGCCATCTAGATGTAAGCTCCAGGTGGGCAAATACTATATTCTATACTTCTTTTGTATTCCATAAATAGCAAAGCAAAACTTCTTATCTTTAAGTATTTGTTAGTAATAACCATTTACTGAGTGCTTCCTACATGTCAGAAGCTAAGCACTTTTTAATGCATCTGTCCACTAGAATATATACTAGGGCAGGAATTTTTGTTTGCTGATACATTTGCGACATGTAGAAAACTGCCTGGTACATAGTAGTAATGAAGAAATATTTATTGAATAAATTCCAAGGAACCTTCCTAACAACTCTATGAGATGGTATTATCCTTTAAAATGAAGAAACTAAAGTTTGGACAGAGTAAGTAACTTAATAGATGGAAAGTATATAAGCCAGGATCTGTATGTTGATCTCTATCTAAACCCTGTATTCTTCACTATAGACCTATATATACTTTGACCTGCAGCCCCATACTGCTGTGACACACCAGCTGATTTCAGGTCCCTTGTTATAAGCTGATAATATGTTTGAAGAGAGCCAAATTCTATCCTTTCTTGAGCCATTCTGCATAGAACCACTTTCTTGAACCAAAACATAGAACATGGCATTAGTCAGAATAATACGGTTTTCTAGGTCTGGTGGAGTGGCTCATGTGGTGGAGTATCTGCCTAGCAAGCTTGAGGCCCTAGTTCAAACCCCAGTACTGCCAAAAAAGAAATAATATGGTTTTCTCCATAGTGAGGATAAATAGAAATCTTACCAGTATAGTGATTCTCAAATGATAATATACATAATAATCACTTGGGATTTGTGTTTGAAATGCAGATTATAGAGTCTCATCTTTAAGGAGTCTGGTTTTCAGTAGCTCAGTAGAGACAGAACTGAGATAAGCTAGGTTAAACCAAGGACTGGACTTCTGTAAAAAATGAACAGCAATAGTGTTCCCGCAGCTAAGGGAAGAGGTGATTTGAATACAATTTTCACACTTCAATTAGGATATGAAAAAGCAGGAATAGGACCCAGTCTCCCAGGAAAGCACTCCTAGGAAAGCTGACCTTAATCAACTGGCTGTAAGTGTGGAATGACACTCCCTCTAAGGATTCAAAGGGTTATGGAGAAAAGGGGAGAATCCTTGGGTTCCATGTGGTAGTAGACGGAGTATAGTCCATTGTGGTAGTAGTACAGAAGACATAAAGAACACTAAAAATACTTAGTGTGCCATCTACAGAATCCTGCTAGGATGGGAGTAGAATACAGCAAAGTTGTGAAAGTTACTAATAGTAAAACTTCACCTAGAACTTCAAAGGCAAGACAGGCAAGCAAGGAAGGTAAATGGTGTACATGTTTTTCTATACTGGACACAGCAGATGAGAAACTGAGGTGCCAAAATAACTGGTTGCAGCAAAAAAGGCAACAAATCAATATTTGGGGATCCAAGCAATGAACTATTAGAAGTTGGTGTGACTATTGAGGCAATCAAAGTTATCTGGGAAGAGCATGAATTGCCAAAAGGGCCTACAGAGGAAATTTTTGTTTTTTGTTTTTTGGAGACAAGGTCTTCCTATGTAGTTCAGGCTAGTCTCAAATCAGCTACATAGCCCAGGCCAGCCTTAAACTCAAGATCTTCCTACCTCAGTCTCCTGAGTATAGGGATTATAGTCATGAACTACCATACCAGGTCCCACAGAGGATTTTAAAGGCACTTTCATTTATTAAACTAATATTTAGTTGGACACAGTGGCATATAAATGTAATCCCAGGAGGCTACTCAGGAGACTGAGGCAGGAGAACCTTTTGAGTCCAGGAGTTCAAGGGCAGCCTAGGTGATATAGCAAGATACTGTCTCAAAAACAAAACAAAACAAAACATTAACAAAAAGCAGTATTTATTGAAAGTCTGCTGTATAACAGAGCCTGTGCCAAATAGATGACATACAGTGACAAATAAAGCTAATATGGTCCTTGTCCTCTTGGAGCTTATGGACTAGCTGGGGAGAGAGATATGAGATGTTAAGCAAATAATCACATGTACACTTTTTTTTTCTTTCAGTGTTAGGAGGTTTTAAGAGTGGTAGGCATGGGCTTTACCACTGAGCTAATTCCCCACCCCCCATATATATACATTTTTATATGTGAAGAAAGACAGGACAAAGAAGGCTTTCCTAAGAAAGTGACATTTAAGCTGACACCTGAGGAATGAGTGGGAGTTAGCCTTAC